CTTGAATTAAGTGTGTAAACTCCATTTTCTTCAAATGTCGAAGGTGCTCTAGGAGGTAATCTACATTACAAGTCATTAGGGACTATTCCTAAGTGACTAGAACGGGCAGGGTGGCTTGCTTGAGCTGCCACTCGCAACCTGCCTCTCCTACGAACATGTAGGTGACAAGTACAATATTCTCTTCAAGAACCACCCTAAGAGTCACGAAGACCTTCTCTGTCTCAGCTAACCAATATTCGGCCTCCTCGAAAGATGATGCTCTTGTAAAAGTAGATGAGTTTAGTCTTTTGTACCTTTCAATATAGTCTGGGTCCATCATGGGTGAAACTGAGTCCCGTGGAAGAGGGACTGCATTGTGTTGTGGAGGGACTGGGTAACCCTGTGGTGGTGCTGGATGATATGGCAGAGGCACCAGATTATACTGTGGCAGTACCGGATGATACGTGGAAGAGAAGAGTTGTACCAGGGAGGCTATGAATCTCTCCACTGCAAGGGTAGCTCAAATTATGGTAGTGGGGGAGGGTCAGATAGCTCCCTCATACCTTTCCAGGCCTGTTGGGTAGAGATAAGTCTCTTCAACATCTCAAATAGTCGGTCAACATTCTCTCAAAGCAAAACATCCCGGGTTGCTCGGTTTAGTGGGAGTTTTCCTCTCTTCATATCCTTATACTTATATTTCACAAGAAAGGATTGACTGATAGTTGTATTTGGTGTTTTTAAATTTTTGTGTAAGAAAAGGTTCCGAGAAACGCGGCTCTGATACCAACTGTAATGACCTAGAACTTAAAAGAAATGAATTTATTTTTTAAATGTAGAAGTGAATAATAATGTTAGGGTTTACAGTCCTTACATAATAAATTGAAATGTCTAATAGGATTACGAGAATATCTCTTCTATGTGATTCATAAAAAGACAAACGATAGTTTAAAAAAATAAATAAATAGATATCCTATGGGTAACCTTCACTAGCACTTGAAGGAAGTGTAGGAGATAAACTACTCATGATCTTCTTACTGATCGGGATTTGGATCTTAATCTTCTTAATCTGAAATGGTTAATAAAAAAGTGAGGTATACTACCCTACTAAGGATATTACATTAATCACTGATACGAAAAATCGAAGGTTGGTAAAAATAAAAAAAATAACTAATAAAGTCCTTACGTTAAGAAAATACATTTAATTTTAAAACGTTATATATGATACTTACCATCACAATTTTTTCTAAAATCAATCTATGAAGACAAATATCCAAATGACATTTTATTTTCATGTATAAGATTAACAATTCTTCCTTTAAGCTACTTATTGGGACCCCTAAGTACCCATAGGGATATCCCTATACTCGCAGATTCAGTGTTAAAATTTGACAATTAACTCGGCCGACCCTATATCCCGTTCGGTAATGGACTCCAAAAACACCATTGTCTCGATACCCTGTCCGATATGAGGGTGAGTCATATCTTCCAAAACCCTTACGGTATGAGACTTCTCAACCCCGTCCGCTGAGGTAATGTTCATGGTAGGGTTCTCTATGTACCAAACCCGTCCACCATTTCTCAAGATACCCAACAACCTTTCATTTATATAGATTTTTATCATCCAAACAACCACCAATGCATACCAACATCTCATTTCATAATCAACGATTAATTCAAGCGGCACCCAAGTAAGCGATATAGTTTAGCATGACCGAATAACCAAATAATCAGAATATCAAATAAACAATACAGGAGGAACCAAATAACCAAATAATCAAGAAGACCATAAAAAATATCAATTTAAATATGCACAATATAATAGTAAGTAGTTTAAGTAGTACAAAAAAAAAGAAGGAATCAGAACAAATATGAACTAACCAGTTCTGGCTCCACTAATGACTTGTAATTATTTTTAAGATTTTTTTAATTTTTACAAAACACAAAATTATCTATCATTAAGTCTCAATTTACCATAACAAAGAATAGAGTGAGGGATCATTACCCGAATTGGTATTTTAAAATATCGTACTATCTACTACGCCTCCTAACAGGTCCTGAATTTCTTGAATTTTTCATGCGGGAATTAAACTACTTGTCATATACCTAAAAACACTCAAAAAAACCCAAAATTGGTGTTGAAAACCCTTTCTAGCTAATTTTTTGGTTTCGGCACGACGACGCCGTCATGCTCCGGTGCCAACTCCACCACTGACGGTAGCGGTTCACCTCGACATGGTCGGTTTTGGTCGATTTTGACCATTTTGGCACATAACCCTGCGAAAAAATACGTTAAAAGGCCTTGGTTGGCCAGAAAATCAAAAGAAACCGAACCTATCAGTGGGGAGGGGGGTCTCTGGGTACAGCGGCTTCGTCAGTTCTCCTTCGCGACTGGGGTTTCTTCTTCGGCTAACCTACACAGAAAATGACAGTGAACACAATGGTCAAAAAATTGTGTGAAACAGAAAACGGGAAGGGGCTCATCAGAGGAGTTTTAAGGTTTTGGCCACGGCGGCTCCGCCAGGCTTTGTTCGCAGTTTTCGCCTCACTCGTCGTCCCTTTTGCTCCAATATGGCCACAAGAAGACTTAGAATCGAATTTTGAGCGGGTAAGAATTTTTTTTATCTTTTTTGACAATCCTTCTCTGGTGTCTGGTTCTTCTTCTCCGGCGAGAGCATGTATGACTAGGGTTATGGTTTCTTGAGATGCAATGTTTAAATACCCATCTCGCGTCGATCTAAGCCGTCTGTTTGCATCGACGTGGAGTAACGAGAGTCGTCTGATTGTTGCCTGTTTAGGCCGATTGCATAGTCGAGTCTGAACCGTTCACTACGATTGGTCTCGTCTGTTCGATCGCGCCTGAAGAGGGAAAACATCATAGCCGTCCGTGCGCATGGGATGTGATCGGGACCATCGGATCCCCAAGCACGCGGATCGCCCGCGTGGCGCTGATGTCAGTGTGTCTTGTCACGCGGCATGCTCTGGTTCGCCGAGACTGCTGACTGGGCTGTCCCATGTGGCCAATTTTTTTTTTTTTGCGATATTTTCCCATATTTTTAAGTTTTCTTTTAAAAATACCCCATTTATTCAAAATTTCACCCATTTTTTCTAAAATTATTTTCAATTTCGTCCATATTTTGTTTTTTTCTCAATAATTTAAATAAAGTTAAATTAAAATAAAAATTAAATCAATTATATATACACTTTTATAAATAAAAAGAATTATCCCAGACCGATTTTTGGGTCCGGATATTACACCTATAAAGGACTCTGTTTCATGACTTATAAAGACAACAGAAATAGTAATAAAATTAATTATCTATTTCTCTTCTGGACTTTAGTCTTCTCTTTTTCTTCTCCTTTTCTTCTTCCTATTTTCTTCTTTATTTGCTATAAATCAGACAGCTATGTCAAAGGTTTCTGACACAATTGTCTCAATTTCTTGATGCACCTATTCAAAATCATTTGCATGCTGCACATTGGATATTAAGAGATCAAACTAAAGTTGTTTCTGTGCTTTTATTTTATTTGTTTATTTATTATTTTTAAGTTGTTTTATACTTCAATTTCACATTATTTTTAGTATTGAATAGCCTTAAGGTGAGAAATCTTATGATCATTTTTGGTTGGCATCTCATACGTGCAAGCTACTTCTGCGAGGGAAGCAAAAAAACATGGAAGCATAGAAGACATATGTTGCTTACTTAAATGTTAAGCATTGATTTAGAAGAAGCAAACAGTATATGTATACTGAAGCTGATTTACTGGATATCTTGTAGATTGCAGAAGTATCTGAGAAACTGTAAAAGGTATATCTTGTCTTTTGCATTCTAATTAGTAAATGTGAAATGGTTAAACATAAATTAACACGATACTGATAGTTTTCGGTCCTACATATTATCTAGATGATAGAAATAATGATATCTACTTGTTGTGAAAATAGATGGCTCTATAAGTATTTATTTTTG